GTGGCTGGCGCCTTAGCCGGTTGAGCTATAGGTGCCGAGCCGCCCCTTGACTTTTTGTCATTAAAAATGACAGGCATATGGCTCGGCGCCCGTACAGTGAGTAGGGCACTGGCCACATACACTGAGGCCGGCCCAGACCTGCTAAACAACAGTGATAACTGCAACCAAAAATAGCCGGGCATTGTGGCGGGTGCCTCTCTCTGGCTGAGGCAAGAGAATCACTTAAGCCCAAGAGTTTGAGGTTGCTGTGAACTGTGAAGCCAAGGCACTAATGGGGAAGAGAGATGAATAGAATCTTCTCTACAGACAATGGACAATAGCTTGCAAACACATGAAAAAATGTTCATCATCCCTAATTATTAGAGAAATGCAAATTAAAACCACGCTGAGATGATATCTAACTCCAGTGAGAATGGGCTATATCACAAAATCTCAAAACTGCAGATGCTGGCGGGGATGTAGAGAGAAAGGAACACTTTTACACTGCTGGTGGGACTGCAAACTAATACAATCGTTTTAGAAGGAAGTAAGGAGAAACCTCAAAGAACTCAACCTAGACCTCCCATTTGATCCTGCAATCCCATTACTGGGTATCTATCCAGAAGGGGAAAAACCTTTTATGATAAAGACACTTGTACTACACTGTTTACTGCAGCCCAATTTACAGTTGCTAAAATGTGGAAATAGCCTGAAATGTTCTTCAACCCAGGAATGGATTGGTAAGCTGTGGTATATGTATACCATGAAATATTATTCAGCCATTAAAAAAAAAATGGAGATTTTGCAGCATTTGTACTAACCTGGATGGAGGTAGAACACATTATCCTTAGTGAAGCATCACAGGAATGGAAAAGCATGAATCCTGTGTATTCAACTTTGATATAAGGAGAATTAATGACACAGTGGGGCATGGGAGAAGGGGAGACCAGACAGAGAAGGAGGGAGGGGGTGAGGGAAAAGAAAAGAAGGAAAAAAAAAGAAAAGAAAATAGTGACTAATTCTTACATAAATTGGATTTAATTTTGACCGAAGTACATTACTTAAACATTAATTTTTTTTAATTATTTTTTATTATTTATTTATTTATTTATTTTTTTGAGACAGAGCCTCAAGCTGTCCCCCTGGGTAGAGTGCCGTGCCATTACAGCTCACAGCAACCTCTGACTCCTGGGCTCAAGCGAGTCTCCTGCCTCCGCCTCCCAAGTACCTGGGACTACAGGCGCCCGCCACAACGCCCAGCTATTTTTTGTTTGCAGCCATCATTGTTGTTTGGCGGGTCCAGGCTGGGGATTCGAACCCACCACCTTAGGCGTATGTGGCTGACGTCTTAGCCGGTTGAGCTACAGGCACCGAGCCTAAACATTAATTTTTAATTCAGTTTGTTAATATGTTGTTTAGGATATTGCATCATTTATAAGTAAAATATGTTTGTAATTTCCCCTTTATAATAATATATTTCATCCAATTTTAATATCAGGTGTATCCAGATTAAGTACAATTATTTTAAAGTATTTCTCCTTTTTTCTATTGTCTATAAGATTTGGCATGATCTGTTTTTTATTTTTTGGGTTTTTTTTTTGCAGTTTTTGGCTGGGGCTGGGTTTGAACTTGCCACCTCTGGCATATGGGGCTGGAGCCCTACTCGTTGAGCCATAGGCACTGCCCCATGATCTGTTTTATGAAATTATCTTTTATTTATAAATATTAGTTGTCCATTTTTTGAGACTTTGGAAAAAAAAAAGATAAGTTTACTGATGACTCCATACTGAACCTCAGAGTCAAAGCATTCTATAATAGACATACTCGTATTTGACAATGTGAATGTTACTTTCTTTGCATTATTATTATTGCTTAGTATTTAAAAAAAATGACAGGCATATAAACAAAACAGAAGTAGAGAGAATGGTATAATGGTATAAAGTATCACCCAGTTTCTTTCTTTTTTTTTTGTACTTTTTGGCCAGGGCTGGGTTTGAACCCGCCACCTCTTCCATATGGGGCCAACGCCCTACGCTTTTGAGCCATAGGCACTGTCCCCCCAGTTTCAAAAAATAAAAGTCATGACCTATTTTGCTTTATCCATTAACCACTGCTTGCCTGCACTGCTTTTTACTTTTTCGATTTTTATTTTTTTGAGACAGAGTCTCACTCTATACCCTGGGTAGAGTCCTGTGACATCATACCTCACAGCAAACTCAAACTCTTGTGTTCAAGTGATCCCTTTGTCTCCTGAGTAACTGGAGCTACAGTCACCTACCATATTATCTGGCTAGTTTTTCTCTTTTTTTTTTTTTTTTTTT